GCAGATCTATTCCCCTAATAAAGGCTTGTCCTGGCCTGGTCTGGTCTTGGTCTTCGGCCTTTTACCTGACACTGATGGCAGCCACTAAGTCCCATTTTTTATTGCTTTAACACAGAACTATTTTTCTTGCAATTAGTTCTCCAGTCTTCTGTGACTTCTGCCTTTTTGGTCCCCCTCTACTCAGTCAGCTCAGCTCATGTTTCCCTGGTTTGAAAATGTTGCAATGTTTGTGAGTACAACGGTATTAGTTATTCTACATCATTAAATCATATGTTCATTTTGGAACCTAGAAAACCTTTGCTTTTCAAAGGAGTATTTTGGTATTATTATTCAAAAAAATGTCAGATTCACTTCCGATACACAGAACACTACACAGCTACAGTTTTGCTGGAAAATAAAGTTTTCTATTTCCTGTAATGCGTGCTGGCCAAGTCCTCCTGCTCCCTCCTTCACAGCCCCTTTCTTTTTTAGGTGTTTTAGAAAATGCCATGAGGGAAGTGTACCTGCATGGTCTGCGTGTCACCTTTGAAGTTCCTGAGCTCCTAGGACCCCACATCCATGGCTGTCTTACATGTTTATACGGCACTGTTGAGAATCGAAGCTTCTAAGGGAACTTCAGACTCAGGGGCACCGGATTTTCCTTCTGAAGCGCCAAGTCTTTTATCCGACTTGCTTGCCAGGACTTCTCAGGGATGTGCTCATCCCAATCCCTGTCCAGGCTGTTAGAAGGAAATCTCTGAAAGCTAAAGTCAACATGGGCCGCTTTTCCTTTGCCCTGCGTGCATCTAAAAGGGCTTCTCGCTGCATCCCTGCATTGTGGGTGACTGCAGAGGGGGAAATGGCTTTCATCTGGCATGCTTTACGGAGAGTAAAACATGAAGAAGCAGTGTGGCCCTGTTTTAGATGTTACCAGATCCTTTCGTTAATTGCAATTGTTTTATTAAAAGCCCTGAAGAGAAATCCAATGCCAAAAAAATAAATAAATAAAACTGGAGCATATTAGTGCAAAGCTAGTTTCCCTTGAGCTCGTTAATTTTTATTCCCTTTGTTCTTAATACTGAGCTTTGAGTCCTTGTGGTTTGATAACGGATATTCCTTCTAATATGAAGAGGGAGCCAGTGAAGTGAGCATTGCATTGCCGTATATCTATCTAATCGAAGCTCTGTGGAGTAGAAGGTGCTTGGTAAAAATCTAGAGACAGACTAGCGGATGAACACATGAGCCTGTGAATGAGATTCTGAATTCTAGACCTGACACTCATTCATGTAAGGGGCTCTGTGCTCCTGAGCTGTTGGCCTTGTTTCTCTAGACTGAGAAACAAGTATGCTGAAATGCAAGATAATATCCTTTAAATGTGGTATTTGTGGCAAGGACGGGCCTTTGACAATATGATGCCCATTCAATTCTTTTTTTAAAAATTTCAAAAAAAAGAAAGAAAGAAAGAAAGAAATGAGCTCAGTGCCCATAAAAGAGGCCCAGGAAGCCCACAGTCTTCTCACCAGGTGAGGACTCAGTGAGAGGGCTTCACCTACAGAGAGCAGACGCTCACCAGACACTGGCTCGCTGCACCTCGGTCTTGAACTTCCAGCTCCTAGAACTCTGAGAAACAAATTTCTGTTGTTTGTAAAGCACAGGGCTTGTGGTATTTTGTAGCAGCCTTGATTAGACTGAGAGATTACATCCACACATTACATGATCGATTCGATCTCTTCTTGCACACTTTTGGACTCTCCACTGGCCATTACCATGCTCATAAGCAAGGGTACTACTGTGCTCAACTTCTACTGACAGAGAAGTGCTACACAGTAAGACGGGCCCTGGCCTTGCCTCCGTGTTTTTTCCCACAGAATGTTTTGTTTTGGAAATCTAAGTTTGTGCTGCTCGGCTCCCGCCCAGTGTATCAAAATGGTTTGAGACTGTTTGAATTGTGTGACCTTTCAGGAAGGTTCTATAACTCCGCACCCCTGCTTCAGTGAGCATGCTCACCTACCCTGTAGATCCCTATATAAGGAGGGTCTCAGTTCTCGTAGGGAGCTCAGACTCCTCTGAGCCCGCTAGGGCTCACTGGCATAATAAAGGTTTATTTCCTCCACCTCTTCAACTGACCATGGGATTCTCCAGTCTTCAAATTACAAGAGCTGTAACCCAGAACCGCCACCCTGAGCTGTAAAGCTCAGCTGTGCCTCAGAGCTTTGGCACTTAGCTTCAATACTGAGCTGTAACACTTAGCTATAGCACAGAGCTGTTCTGCTCTGCTGCAACACTATCCTGAGACATTAGCACTATTTTGGACAATGGTAAGTGTCTTAATCACTTTTCTCTTTGTGAGACAAAATATGCAACACCCAATGTTAAAGGATGAAAAGTTTATTGTAGCTCACAGTTGGTAGAGGTTTCAGTTCATGGTTGCCTGGCTCCAAGGGAGGGTGACATTGCAGAGGGGGATCACAGAGGAGAAACAGTCCATAGCAGGCAGAAAGAAGCCAAGCAGCAAAGGATCAAAAAAGCAAGAGCAGGCCTACCTTCCTTCTGTCCCTTTGTATTTATCCAGGCTACCTGCCCTTTGGGTGATCCCACTGATACCCTCCCATTATCCACACCCAGAACAAGCCAAGCCCATCAGTGACTCCTTTAGTAATCACAGGCCCTTCGTCCTAGTCTCATACACCCTAGATCCAGCCACCTCTGAAAAGCCCTCCGACCTCGAGGCCTTGGGGGACATCTGGACACAGGCCATGGAAGTAAACTAGCACCTTCAGCTCTTTTATTGCCAGAATTTTAATTTTCTACCAGTGTTAGTGATTGAACTGAGGCCTTCATCCCCAGCTCTATTCTGAATTTTTTTTTTTGAGACGGTCTGGCCAAGTTGGTCATGCTGGGTTTGAACTTGTGGTTTCCTGCCTCAGCCTCCCAGAGTGCTGGGATTATAAACATGTGGCACCATGCCCTCTCAGAACTCTTTTAAAACTTTCTATTTTGCAATAATTTCAAACTTACAATAAGAGCGCAAAATAGTAAAATAACTATTCCCATAATTCCTCTGCCTGTTTACACAAATGTTAATATGCCTGCATTTGCTTTGTGGCTTCTGTTCTATCCTCCTTCTCTCATGGGAATGTCTCTGTTAGCTAAAGCCCCTCTCCACAGCTGTGCTGACCGGGTGTTCTGTCCCCATGGCTCTAACCTGCTCTCAGTATCCTTCCCCGGCCACGTGACTTTCCCAAGGATAATTCAGAATCCATGGCTCCTCTGGAAAACTTACAGCTCTCAAGACTGATGTGTTGAGACCGGAAACCCAAAACGGTATCACTGAGTGTAGTGCTGATGCCCTAAGTTTGGGGTGAGGGTGTGAAGAAAGGGGAGAAATTGTTAAAAATTATGGGAGGCCAGTGTTTTGGACTGAGGTCCCATGCTAGGCCAAGCAGAGCAGACCAAACCAAAATGGAGCCACTCATGCTAAATGCCACACTAACTGAAAGGTTAAGGAAGCAGATTCCAAAACAGATCCATTCCTCCGGAAAGCATCAGCATCCATTCTTCTTAAGCCACCAGATAAGGAAGTGCCTCTGCATTTGCTCTTACACTGGGGCGACTGATGCTAACTAGCCTTTTCCTATCATTCTGCCTCCTCGTTCCCTCCTAAGCCCACCATTGTTTCTGCCCAATGACAGCACCGCTTTATTGTGTAGAATGGGAGCCACCTCCGTCTATAACCAAATTTGTGCCAATTTTGTCCTTTGATAGAAACGAAGGTTGGGACAAGACAAATTCCCTGAGAGCTGGCAAAATGCGACAAAGAGCTCTAGAGTTTCTGAAGCAGGAAAGCGAACCTTGGTGCTGCAGTACCCGCTCACGACCCCCTTGCTAGTTAGTGGGCAGTATAAACTTCCAAGCAAGGCCCAGCGTGGCTCCCAAAGGGCACCTGCTAAGGAGCACCAGGCCAGAAGGGGAGGTCCTTGAAGGCAGCTAGCTGCTCATCCAGAGTGGGATTTTTCACTGGAGCAAGTCTGGCATTCAACTCATTGGTAAAGGTTTTTACACACTTGTTTCATTTTTGAACAAACCGGGTGTGTTTACAGGCTTGTTTCAGGGAGATTAAAGGGGGCACTCTATCAACACACACGCAAGCCCTTCCGTGGCCAAGCGTCATCCGTGCTGAGCAGCCTCGTCCTGGCAGCCACACAGGGAGGCCGGACAGAGATGGTCCCCGTGCTATTGGACAGTGGGGGCTCCGTGGCTGGGAGATCGAGGGCCTGGACCCCAGCCCTCAGGGCTCCCCACTGAGCCCACCAGGAGGGCACCCAGTCCCCACTGGGATCTGCGCCCTGCTGCCTGCCTGGACAGGGGTCTCGGGTCCTCTCCTGTGACCAAAGGACACCGTGGGACCTGGGGTCTCCCCGCTGGACTGGAGATGTCAGCTTGCCTGTGGGGGTCTGAGGTCTTTGGGTCCCCCTGCAAGGGGAGAGGTCTCAGGGTGCTTCAGGGGTGTTCTCCTGCAGGGTTCTGGAGTCTCAGGGTCTCCGTGGGACCTGGTTCTCAGATCCCCCCTCCAGGACCCGGAGTCTTGGGGTCCCCGTGGGGTCCGAAGTCTCGGGTCCCTCTGTAGGCTTCTAGAGTCTCAGGGTCCCCTGCGGGGTTTGGAGTCTCAGGCTTCCGAGATCTCGGCCCCCCGCCGTGTGAGGTCCTCCCATGGGGCCAGGCGTCCCGAATTTCACTCGCAGGGAGACCGCGTTAGTGGGGATTCAGAGCTCAGGGGCACTCAGGTCCCGCGAGAGTGACCGGCTGGGACGGCGCCCCGACCCCCGCCGCCAGGTGAGCCCAGAGGCGACTCTAAGTCACCTCTCGGAAAGCCAAGGGCTTAAACGCGTTTGCCGGACACCGGCGAGGGAGGACCTAAGGCTTGCGGGCCAGTGGGACGCGGGAGGGGAGGAGCCCGAGGAAGCCTCGCCCAGCCGCCAGCCGTCCACGCCCCCTTTCCCATCTCCCAGAGCGGCGCGCTCGTCTCGCGCATGCTCAGTGCCGCCTGCTGGCCTCTCGCCCGCGCCGTCGCGCGCCATGGCGGCCCCCGCGCCCGCGGTACTGAAAGGTGAGGGGGCTTCCGGTCCCGGCGCTGGAGGGGGCGTGGGCGGGCTCCGGGGTCCGCGAGGAGGCGGGCGCCGCGCGTCCCCGAGGCGGGCCGTGCAGACCCCGAGCGGCCGCCCGCGCCTTCGGGTTTCCCGCCGGTGTCGGGGCGGGCGGCGGAACCCGGCGGCCGGGCTTCCCTGTTTCCGGGTGCCGCACGGTATTCTGTGGAAGGAGCACGGCCTTCCGTGTCCCGGCTCTCACTCACAAGGGGCACACCTGGAAAATCCTTCCGGGAGGGCGAGGATTTAGAAGCTGCCCGCCCAGAGCGGGGTCCACAGACCGCTCCAGGGCCAGGGCCAGCCCAGTCCTGCCCTGTTTGCCGCCTGTGGTTGTCTGGCCAGCGAGCTAAGAAGGCGTTGCCATTGTTAAGTGGTTAAGTGAAATAAGGAAATGGAAGATCGACAAGCGAAAGTTTGATGGACTTTCCTTCCCCGTGAATAGTTTTACTAGAACGTAACTGTGCTGGCTCGTTCACTTTTTGCCTATGGCTACTTTTCTTGCTCTGCCTGTGAAGTTGGATGATCTACCTGGCCCACAAAGCCCAAAATATTTACTGTCTCTTTATAGAAAACCACTCCTGCGCTGGAGTAATTAAACTTTGTGTAGGAATTAGGGAAGAGTATTAAGGGTTAAGATTGTAAACCAGGATGTGTATGAATAAAGTTGTTCTTTGTTTAAAGTTTTATGTACCATGAATAGCACTGGTGCTCTGTTGAATACGTTTTTAATAGAAGTTTCATATTTACTTTTTAATATAAATAGAACAAGAGAAAAACCCTTTGGGCAAGGGATGCTGGGATTACCCATGTGTACTTCATGCTAATATCCTGTTTTCAGATGTAGTGGCCTATGTTGAAGTGTGGTCTTCCAATGGGACAGAAAATTATTCAAAGACATTTACAAACCAGCTTGTGGAAATGGGGGCAAAGGTAAGAAATTCCTTCTAATGTTGATACGTAGGACAGTTTTCTGGGAGGTAGAGAGATACATTTCTGTCTTCTGTTTTGGGACATTAATTAGAACAAGAAGGGCATGGCCTTGGGGAAGTAAGTGGTGGAAGAAAAAAACAAAGCTCAAATCTAAAGAATTGAGAGCTGCCTTACTGACAGAGCAGTTGGTTTTGTAGGTATTGAGTGAGAGGAGGAATCTAAGATGAAAACTGGATTTTGTCCAGTTACGCAGGTGTACTGGGCTGTTCATCACAGCAAGGAGCACAGGAGCAGGTTTCTAAGGGAAAGGGAAAGGCTGTAAGTGTGGGTGTGTTGAAAACATCAGGGCATTGAGTAGACACTGGAACCCGAGGTGGTCAGGGCTGGACCATTAGATGTGGGGTCAGGACCCCAGGGGTCAGGGAGGCCATGAATATCCCTGTGGGCCCTCTGGGTTGTGGTTAGCAGGAAGGCTGGAGCAGGAAGCCTGTTGAAGATTTAAGGGCAAGGATGGGAGCAGGGAGCCCACAACGGAGATAGGGGAAAATGTCAGGAGAGTGAGAAAGCAGGTGTGGAAGACTGTCATGTCTGCTTTGATTGCTCTTCCTCATTATTTGACCATGACTCATGACCGCCACGCCCCTCCACTGTAATATTTTTTTAAATTCTGGTCTTAATGAAGCTTCAGGGTGACTTGCTTGGTGTGACACTGTTTACATTCTTGTGCTGGGCGCATGGGAGGGTTAATTCAGAACGAACAAATGTCCTTTAGTTTGAGAAAGTTTTCTGTACTCATTTCTCTTGTTCATTTTCCCTGCTCCTGCGTTCCTTCCACCCTGTTGCTCAGCTGTTGGTCTGAGTTTCTGTGTCCCGTGTTTTCCTCCCTTCCTTCCTTCCCATTGTGCTCTAGGCCAGGGAGATTTTCTCAACTTCATTGTCTGACGTTTCTGTAGATTCTGTTTTTCACTTGTGTCATATTTTAACTTCTAGCAGCTGTTTAGAATTTCTGATCCTTTTGAAAATGATCTGATCTTACCACCACATGAACATGAGTCTTATATTCTGGAAGTATTAAGCACCTTTTTTTGGAGACAGGGTCATTCGCTGTGATCCCTCCTGCTTCAGCCTCCTGAGTGCTGTGGTTACAGGCATGCACTACCATGCTCGTTTTAAGCACTTTCAATTTTAATAAGCTATGTGTTTCCTTTGTTGTCTGTTTCCTTGGGATTTCGTGTTCTTTCTTTTTGGAGTGGAGAGGTTTGCTTAAGTATCTTTAGTTGTCTGACTTGCTCTTTCTCTTTCCAGCTGCTAAACATGTGGTTCCTCTTGTCCACTTCTCTTCTGTTCTCTTTTTCCTCATGGGGTTGCAATTCTGTTCTTTTCATCCCACTTCGAGCTTTTCCTGGAGTAGAGGTACGCACGAGGCATGATTCCACTACAAACTGGAGCAGGTCTAAGATGAATGTAATTATTGTAGATAACAAACATACACTCATAAAAAAAATAAAAAAGGGAGAAACTGGAGCAGATGTGTTTTTAGCAGTGTTACATATTTGCCAGAGTATTTCTTTGATGGATTCTGAGACTAGGAATGCTGGGTTAGGAGTTTTAAACATTTATTGTGAAATATATTGAATAAAGGATCCCTTTTTTTGAGCAATTATACATAAGAATCTATGAATAAATATTAATGTATATTTTGTTTTCTGCAGGTTTCAAAAACTTTTAACAAACAAGTTACTCACGTTGTCTTCAAAGATGGCTACCAGAGCACGTGGGACAAGGCCCGGAAGAGGGGGACAAAGCTTGTTTCAGTGCTCTGGGTTGAAAAGTAAGTAGCTGTCTTATTTTTTCCTGGAATTACCTAGTATTGGTAAAAGTCTAGTGTTGATATTTTGCATTGATCGTAGAACCAGAAAAGGCTTGATGTTCATCTTTTCTCTTTCTCTTATTGAGCAAGTAATTTAAAGTCTTCCAGCTTAGTGTGTGCGGCTGAGAAGTAGATGTAATACAGTACCTAGTCCTGCCCAGACGGTAGAGGATGTGGAGTGGAGGCCCTGGGTGTGTGCAGGAGACAGTGAGAGTGCACGGAAGCAGAGTGAACAGGTCAGCTCCGGCTGCCGTGCCCTGGGCCCAAGCCGGGCTGAACTGTCTCTCTCTCCTGAGGCTGTCCTTGTGGCTTGTAGACGCTGGTGTGTGCTCGTGTCCTCAGAGGGTCTCCCCTCTGTGTGTCCTAATCTCCCTTCTCATGAAGACATTGATTCTAGTAGATTAGGGCCCACACCAGTGACTTCATTTGGCCTCACTTATCTCTCCAAAGACAGGTACATTCTGAGGTCCTGGGCTTAGGACCTGTGAGTTTCGGGATTTGGGGACACGACCCAAGTGCCAGAAGAAGGCCAAGGGAAAGTTTAGGTGGAGAGTGAGGTCAGGGTGCAGTGGGTGCAGTGTGCGGCCTCGTGGGCGAAGCAGTAGAGCGGGCCAAGGGCCGAAGCCACAGTGGTGGGGACCAGGTGGATGTCAGCTTGGACCAGGGCAGAGGCCGTGGAGCCAGAGTGCAGGGCATTGGTCAGGTCAGGTGAGTGATGTCAGACCAGATTCCCCGAGGGTTTGGGTGTCTGTAGAGAGAGGAAGCAGGGGTGGTTTTATCAGGAACTGGGACTGGGAAGCCTGCTGCAGACAGGGCGGGGGACTCAGTTCTCCTTGGACATGCCGAATGTCAGGGCAAGGCCGGCAGGTGGGTGGTGTTGGAGTTAGTAATGTGGGGATTGCCAGGCACAGATTTCTTTACAGGCACAAGGCAGGCATGATGCTTCCTGCTGACTGCATGGGGACTAGCACTCCTGGGTTTTAGGTTGGGGAGGAGACTGAGGAGCAGCAGCAGACTGCTGATGGTGAGGCCTTTGCTGTTAGTTTTCTGAAGTTAGTAGACTTTCTATTCTGGAAAACACCGATCTCTTTACTCCAACATTCTGACACCAGATATGTGGATTTTTCCAAGCCAAGCAACTCTTCAGCTTGCTGTACCCCAGCTTGGTGCCCCTCAGTTCGGTCCCATTTGGATAGACTGCCTGGAGTGACCATGAGATCCTATGTGGCCAAGGTTCAATCCCACAGGTCTGCCCGCCTCAAGATGCCAGTCCAGGCCTCAGGGCCAGGGATTTAGCTCAGTGGTTCCGCCGCCTGCCTTGTGGGTGCAGGGTCCCGAGTTTGATCCCCAGTACCAAAAAAAAAAGTCCAGGCCTCTGCCAGTCTGCCCACCGGCTATAAGTCGGTTCCCCAAGCTCCTCTTGGGTCTGGTCATTTCCTGGAACAGGGAACCGCTGTCCTTCCCTTTTGTTGGTGTTGTGAAGGGCGTCTCTTAACAACCACGTGGAAGAGGTGCTCAATAGGAGTGGTGTTCATGAAGCTTTAAACGTCATTCTGAAGAACCATTGTGTCGTCCAGGGCACAAAGATTTATGCCTAGATTCTCTCATAAGACTTCAGAGAGTTCTCTCACGTTTAAGTCTGTGGCCCCCCTTGAGTGGACCTCAGTGTGTCAGCTAGGGCTCCCCCGTGGCTAGTTTGCCTGTGGCCAGCTAGTTGTCCGAGCACTGTGCTGCAGAGATAACAGTCTGTGCTCATCAGTGGTCTTGGTGCTCTGGCTGGATGTTGCTTGGCCAACATACATGGTTCCTTTCTGGACTCTCAGTTCTTTGTTTATCCTTGTCACCAGCCCCTCATCTGGATTATAGGAGCTCTGCAGTCAGTTTTGAGATTGGGATGTGAATCCTGCAACCTTGTTTTTCTTTTGCAAGATTGCTTAACGTTGTGGGTCCCTTCCATTTTCATGTGAATTTTAGGGTCAACTTGTCACTGTCTTTAAAAAAAAAAAAAGGACAGCTGTTTTTCATCCCCCCCCCCCATTCATTCTGACAGTTGAACCAGGGCCTTTGCACTGAGCTACATCTCCAGCCCTTTTTAATTTTTTATTTTGAGACAGGGCCTCACTAAGTCACTAACTTACCCAGAATGGGCTCAAATTTGGGACCCTTCTGACTCGGCCTCCTGGAGTGCTGGGATTACTGGCGTGCACCACCACACCCTGACCAGCCCTTGGTAAAGTCTGCCTTTTGGATAATAGCCATGCTAATGGGTGAGATGATACCTTTTTTTGGTTTATCCTTTTCTTTTGTGGTAAAGGATTAAACCCAGGGATCTCAAACTAGTTTCTAGCCCTTCTTTATTTTTTGTGACAAGGTCTGACCAAGTTAACCAGACTAACCTCAAACTTCTGATCCTTCTGCTGTAATTTTCTGAGTAGCTAGGATTGCAGGCATGTACCACCACACCTGGCTAGATAATAGCTTGTTATGGTTTCAATTTGCATTTCCGTGATGATTACTGATGTCAAGCATTCTTTTTTTGTGGTACGTGGGATTGAATCCAGGGCTGAGCTGTGTCCCATCCCTTTATTATTTTTTGAGACAGGTCTAGTGAAATTGCCCAGGCTGTGCTCAAACCTGTGATCCTCCTGCTTCAGCCTGCCACAGTGGTAGGATTATAGGCATATGCCACCACGCTGGGCTTGTTCATACACTTTTTGGTTATTTGTGTACACCTTCTTTTGCCAGTATTTTAATGTACTTTCTATCTATGTTCCTAAGAGATACTGGTCTAGTTTTCCCTTGATAACTTGTCTGATTTTGGTATTGGGGCAATACTCCCATTACTGGGATGGGTTCTTCAGTTTTTTAAGAGTTGGAAAGGATTGATATATTAATGTTTTTCTTTGAACATTTGGTAGAATTTATCAGTGACACCATCTCCTCCTGGCTTTCTTTTGTGCTTTGATTGTTAGTTCCATCCTTTTTTAAGGTCTGTTTAGGTTTTTCACTTCCTCTGAAAGCTCAGTCGGTTTCAGTAGTTTGTGTCTTTCTAAGTTTGTGCAGGACATCTAGGTTGTCTGTTGGCGTGCACTTGCTCATAGTTCTCTCTCGGTCTGTTATTTCTGTGAGGTGAGAGAATTGGTTCTTGACTTCAGTCACCCTCTTCTCTTTGGCTTGGTCAGTCTAAGCTAAAGACTTGTCAGTTGGTTTTTTTTGGTACGGGGGATCAAACTCAGGACCTTGCACTTGCAAGGCAGGCGCCGGAACCACTGAGCTAAATCCCCAGCCCAAGACTTGTCAGTTTTGATCATTTGAAGACCTTTTTATTGATTTTTGTCTATTTCCATTATTTAATCTCTATTATGACTTTCTTCTGCTTGCTTTGGGATCAGTTTGCACTTTGTCTAGTTCCTGAAGGTGGAAGATTAGATTATTGATTGCTTCTTCTTTTTTTAGTAGAAGATGGGTTTCCCTTATCTGAAGTGTTTGTGATCAGAAGCTCTTTGGAGTTTGTGTTTTGATACATTTGCATATGCATAATGAGTTGTCTTGGGGGTGGGACTAAAGTCCACACAGGAAGTTCATCAATAGACACATCTTAGAATTTTTGCTGCATCTGTAGTTGGAGTGTTACTCATCACGCGAAGTTATGTGCGCAGTTTTCTGTGTGTGGTATCAGGTCAGCACCCCAAAAGCTTGAGGTGTTTGGATTAAAGAAGCTTAATATGTGATTACAGAAGTAAATTTCTTGCTAAGCACCACTTTAACTGCATTTCACAAGGTGTTCTTTTCTGTTTGTTTGTTTCATTTATTTGACTTTCTAATTTTATTTGTAATGTCTTCTTTGACCCATTGGCTATTTAGAAGTGTTAGGATTGGAGCCTGGAAGGTCTGCCCAAAAGACTCAGGTGTTCCAAGGCTGGGCTTTGTGATGGCAGGCAAGGTGAGTGGGGCTGAATGTGCTGTTAGGAGGGAGGTGGGTCCTGCAGTGGAGAAGGGGAGCTTCCTTCTCTCCCTGCTCCCTGGCGCCGGGTGTGAGCACCTCTGCTCACCATGCGGTTTCTGCCTCTGAGCCCAGCAAGCATGAACTGAACCTTCTGAAACTGAGCCACAACAAGCCTCTGCTCCTTGAGTTGGGCTGTTAGGTATTGTGTTTCAGTGATGAGGGAGGTGACTAAGACAAGGGTCTTCTTATTTCATTTTCCCGTATTGGTAAATTTGAAAAAAGAATTCCAGGCATTTAGAATTTGTTTCAGCACCTAACGTGTTGTGCATCCAGGAGAATGCTAATTATGCATTTAAAATGAATGTGTATTCTGCTGTCGAATCCAGTGTTCTACGAATAGGTGTCTGTAGATCTCCGATGCGATTGCTTTTTCAGTTTTCTCTTCCATCTTGCCCTCTGTTTGGCTCCGCACCCACCAATAGAAGTGGGTGTTGAAGTCTCCAGCTATTACCACAGTGTTCATTTCTCCTTCCATTTTCTCTCAGTTTAGCATTTTGTTTAGTGCTTATCAGATTTAGTGCCAGCAGATTTCCTTAGTTTTTCTTTCCCTTAAGTGTCCATATTTGCTATTACTTGTGAGTAGTATTTTCCAGCCTCTTAATGACACTTGCTGCACTCTTTTGTCCTACTTGTATTTCAGAGGAGTCTGGAGTCTGTCAGATTGTTTCTCCCTTGTATGCAGGGTGTCGTCTTTCTCTGACTTCGCTCAAGATTTTCACCTTGTCTTCATTTTCAGAAATTTGCCTTCAAGTTCTGTGGATTGTGCTTTTTAATTTATTTTGCTTAGATTTCATTGAGCTTTTTGAATGTGTACTTAGGTTTTTTCTTTCTTTTTTTTTTTTTTTGGCACTGGGGATCAAACTCGGGACCTTCCACCTGCGAGGTAGGCAGCAGAACCACTGAGCTAAATCCCTGGCCCAAGGTTTTTCATTTTAAATTTGGTTAGTTTAGGGTC